GAAAAATAAAGATTGTACATTATTATTTAATAAGAAATAATCGTCGTGGGACCCATCTATGACTTTTGACAGTAGCCTTCTCGAAAATTGTCGTGTCGAGCGAGGCGGTTTATTGATGATATGCGGGTCATCCGACTACTTTGAACTCTGTCCGGTTTGGCAACGGGCGGACCCGACATTGAGGGATCCTGATTGGCTTTCGGACGGTTAGTCTTGATAACCTGTCTATATATTTATTTAACCTATATTTTCGGCTTCTTGGTTGTCGGGCTGTATTTCACTATTTTATTTATTATTTAATAAATTGGAGCCAAATTGGGTATCAACAGGAGGCCCCCGAGTTTAGGGCATGTTCTGGATGGAACTGTTCTGAAGTCGCGTTTAATTTTTACAATTTGGCAGTGTTTTCGCCTCATTATCTTTTGAGCTTCGAGCTCTTTTTATGGCGTTAGGATTTACGCGTAATGAGAGATATTGGTGAAATTGCAAACATGTCGACGATTGCGCGTGTCGGATAATTTTTGCGTGGTTCAAGAGATCACATTTATCTTGTCGGCTTTTACTTTATGCGTCTCGAGGACTCATTTAATCTTTATCGAGTAACTTTGGTTACTTGGATCGTTGTTTCGTTGTTTTTGGGCACTTTGGGACCCTTGCGCGTTTTGTTAATCTTTTTAGGCTTTAGCCTAACGTATTTATGATAATCACGCTTTAATCTTTGACGAGTTGAGTCAGTTTGAGAGAATGTGCAATTTCGCGAATTTGCTATTGGATGGGGCCTGAGTGGCCTAGTTGGGTAATTTGGTACCCGTTTTTGTGCAGGAAAGCATTTTGAATTGTCGACATGAGTGAGCTTGGAGCTCTTTGTCTGAGTGAGTTTTTGGGCTCTTAGCTCGATTGAGCTTTGGGATCCTTATTTCTTACGAGAGTATATGCATAATGCGATCATATGTGGAATGCGTGAATGTATGATGAATGTATGCGATGAATGTATGATGAATGTATGATGAATGTATGTTATGAATGTATGACGAATGAGAGCATCGTGTCGCATGTTTAGCTGGGCCGAACTGCTTTCGCAGTTCGGTTTTTAGTTTCAGGCCCTTTGGCCTTACGGCTTGTAGGCCTTTAGTTTAACGGCGTTTCGGCCTAATGGCGCGTAGGCCTTTAGTTTTACGGCGTTTCGGCCTAATGGCGCGTAGGCCTTTAGTTTAACGGCGTTTCGGCCTAATGGCGCGTAGGCCTTTAGTTTTACGGCGTTTCGGCCTAATGGCGCGTAGGCCTTTAGTTTAACGGCGTTTCGGCCTAATGGCGCGTAGGCCTTTAGTTTTACGGCGTTTCGGCCTAATGGCGCGTAGGCCTTTAGTTTAACGGCGTTTCGGCCTAATGGCGCGTAGGCCTTTAGTTTTACGGCGTTTCGGCCTAATGGCGCGTAGGCCTTTAGTTTAACGGCNATTATTTTATTTTTAAATTTCTTACATCATTAAGGGTACAACTGTTATTTTTAAAATATGTTCTTTCCCTCTATTTTTCTAACCAAACTAGGTTTACCATTTTCCCTCCATTCCCCTCGTACAAAATCCGTCCAAACAAGGTAAAATTATTTTACATCACCTACCCTCCCCTCCACTTCCTTCAATAAAAATTCTTCCCCTCTCCTTCGTTGAACCAAACATACCCATAGTCATTTGACCCTCATTAAGGATAATTTGGTCATTACAAAAAATGCCAACTCACTGTGGCCCAACAACAACCACCAAACCCTAATATATCCTTGTCTCACACACAAAACACA